TATGATATTCTCCCAGTTTCAACAATTTATCAGTAAATGACATAATTCATTCTTTATGACTGAATACAATTCTGTTGTGTATATATACTATGTTTTCTTGAAACATTGGTCTATTGACAAGCACCTAGGTTGGTCCATAACTTTGCTATTATGAATTGTGATGCTGTAAACACTGGTGTTGAGAGCCACAGTTTAGTCGGAATGACCCTGGCATTTTGCTAGAGGGAATGGTTGAAAGGTGACCCTGCTCCGGGATTAGGGCTGCTCCGGGATTAGGGCGGATCCTGCTGGGATTAGGGCATATCCTGCTGCCTCAGGCGCCCGCTCCTTGAGTTCCCGTTGAGTTCTCCTGGGGTTCCTGGAGAATTGGCGAGCAGAGCCCGGTGGAGGAAGTGTGTTCCCAGAAAGTGCGTGTAGAGTGCTGGTGAGAGTTCGGGAATAAAGAGTTGCTGTTTGAACCTACAAGGCTTTGTGGCGGCTCTGTTATTTTGTGCCCAGCCAGACTGTGGCACACTGGTATGCATGCATCATTATAGTATGCTGATTTTAGTTCTTTTGGATAAAATACCAAGGAGTAGGTAGCTGGGTCATGTGGTGGTTACGTTCCAAGGCTTTTGAGGAATTTCCATAGTGCTTTCCAAAGTGGTTTTATCAATTTGCAGTCCCACCAACAATGTATAAATATACCTTTTCCCCTCATATCCTCACCAGCAAGTACTGTTAATTTTTTTCTTGATGGTTGACATTCTAACTATAAAATCTCAGTGTGGTTTTGATTTGCATTTCCCTGTAGCCATTTGTATTTCTCCTTTTGAGAAATGTATGTTTAGATCTTTTGTTCATTTACTGATCAGCTTGTTTTTTTTGTGTGTGTGTGTGTTAAGTTTTTTGAGTTCTTTATATATTCTAGATATTAATTCTCTGTCAGAAGAGTAGCTGGTAAAGGTTTTCTTTCATTCTGTTTGCTCTATCTTCATGTTCTTATTTCCCTTCCTTACAGAAGCTGTACAGGAATAAGCTGTACAGGAATAAATTTTATTAATAAGTTTTATCCCACTTATTGATTCTTGGTTTTATTTCTTGAGCATTAGGGGTCTTATTAAGGAAGTTGATACCTGTGCCTATATTTTAGAGTATTAGTCTTATGTTTTCTTCTAGCAGGAGCAGTGTTTCTGATCTAATCCTTAAGTCTTTGATCCACTTTGAATTGACTTTCATACAGGGTGAGAGATTGAGATCTAGTTTCATTCTTTTTCATATGGATATCCAGCTTTCTCAGCACCATTGATTAAAAAGCCTATGTTTTCTCCAACATGTTTTTGGTACCTTTAGGACACTATGTTTTTAAATGTATTTAATTATATTTTACTTATAAAATAAAAAACAAAAACTATTGTAAAGCAAATGATTTTAAATAAAAAGGTTTCATACTGATTTTAAATGATTTTAATTTTATGAGTATTATATTCCAACTCAAAATAAGGGTATTGCACAGTGCTTTACTATTTTAATAGTTATTTTTCAAGCTCTGGTGAAATTTTCATAAACATAGTTGACTTTGAAAATAACACAGAGAATGTCTTAATTGGTTAATTTCAATTACCTGTGAAGAACTGAAAGCAGGCTATAACATTCATAGAAAAGACAAGTACATAAATCTACTTGACTTCAGTGAAAAATAATAAACTTCTCAAATATTTAATAAAACTTACAAGAGGCAAAATTAAGTATGGTGTAAAATGTAATGTATTTCCAAAATTTTTCCAAAATGTACTCTTTTGCTTTTGAAAATCCATTAAACATGCAAGGATTCTAAGACTATCTGATCATCTTAAAAGCCTCTTATATTGGAGAATCTAACACCTGATATTTTTAAAACAAAATTTAGATTAAATAAATACACATCTGCACTGTTAAAATAATAAAATATGTGATTTGTAAGGTAAAGTTCTCCAAATAACAAACAAAAAACAATACCAGAAAATAAATTTACCACATTATGGCATCCATAAACATTACTATTCAAATTTATGAACCTATTACATTTTCCCTAGAGAACAAGCACATTTGTCATCATATAATTATGGAATAAATACTGAAAATTTTAAAAAATACTAATAATCAACAAACTCCCAATTGTTATAAATTTATTATAGCAAGTTTATTCTTTTATGTTTCTGCTTCCTGATTAGTATTTTTAGTAGAGGCATAGCACTGGGGGGTACAGAAGGTGAATATGCCTCAAGTGCCCATTATGCTTTTTTAAAAATTCCATTTTGTACTTTAGCTATTTTTAGATATATTGTTCATAAAGCTCATGAATGCAGCTTACTTTTGCTATGCTTACTTTTTCTGTCCCCCCACCCCCCAGGAAAATTCAATCACAGCACTAATGAAAGGACAAAAATATTGCATTCCTGATACATCATTTATTTTGTTTTGCCAATGGTTCTTAGAAGCTTTGAATTATTTCAGTAGTGTCAATGTTTTAGTTAATGCTTAAACTAGATGATCCACATTATGAATTTTTTTATGGTTGTCTTAAGATACAATGGATTATTCACAGTTTATTAACATTCCAGAAACCAGACATCTGGTTTATTTATCTTTATCTTCATCAAACCCCCAATACTTTATGAGATACTTGAAGGGGGGGGGGACCTGCAGAAGACACCCTCCAAAAACACTGTGTTCTCAAGAAGAAAAGCCTAAAATAATGGGTTAATTCAGTCATTGTGCCTTAAACTGGAAACAGATTATGATTTTACTTCAGAAAGCATTTACATTTATTACATTCAAAAATGATTCTCATTCAGAGTAATGATTGAGATTCATTTAAAATAAAAGATACAGTAATTATATGCTGCAATCCTACTATAGTGCCAAGATTTCATATACAGTCAACATTTTCAATTGGATATAGACATCAAGGTGTGAGTATTTATGATCTATTTTGTTGATATTCCCTCAGTTCAAAATTAATGTGAGTATCCTGGCATGGTGGTGCACACCACCTGTAATCCCAGTGGCTGGGGAGGCTGAGACAGGAGGATCACCAGTTCAAAGCCAGCCTCAGCAATGATGAAGTGCCAAGCAACTCAGTGAGAACCCTGTCTCTAAATAAAATACAAAAAAGGGTTGGGAATATAGATCAGTGGTCAAGTGCCCCTGAATTCAATCCTTGGTACCAAAAAAAAAAATAATGTGATTAATTGTATTCATCTGTCACTCAGATTCCATTCATGTCTAAACAGAGAAATTAATCATAGCATAGACAGAAAAAAAATTCCGTGTCTGTCTAAATTATTGACTGTACCACCATCCTCACTATTCTTGTAAGTACCAATTTTCATTATAAATTCAGGAGGAAAAAGCACTTTAGACCCAAATATACATAAATTGCTAATAATATTTTAATTTAAAGTCAACAAGTATTTAAACTCTTATCCTCTAACCTTTTCACTATTAGCATAGTAAAATTTCCACAAGTTGAAAAAAATTAATTCACTTCAAATGCTAATCTGTGACATATCCAAATGTTTTTGCCATCATATATATGAACATTGGCAAATAGGACACTTAACTGTGACTTGAAAAATTTAACAATGTTAAATAAAACTATTTTCTAATTGAAAATGTCATTACAGTTAAACCTTTTCAGAAAACAAACAGTTTTTAAAATCTTCACACATCCACACTCTAGTTTTCTGAGTCAGTAATCAAAATCACAGGAGGTTTTGTGATGCTTCCACAATCATTCAAGCTAGGGCAAGCCTACTGTAGCATTTTTTTATTTAAAAAAAGAAAAAGGAAAAATAATTTTAACAAAATATAATTATTTCATTTATAATACATATTGAAAATGATGTGCCAATTCCACAAGATATATCTTAAAATCTTCCAAGGTTACATTGAAAAGGAAATTTAGTATTATTTTTTTCATTCCAGAGGTTCAATGTGGAGTCCCCTCTGCGGTTCATAAACCCTAGTACAACCTGTGGACTGCAGAGATTAGCCAACAGTGTTACTTGTGTGGCATTTTCTCTTTAACCTCAGGGAAATTATTTGATAAATGACTTCTGCATTCAGAAATTGATGCACCAACTCTTAATTTACCTTTAAACTATCTTTAAAGACCTTATTGAAAATACCATATTAGCAAAGTTTTTTTTAAAAAAAACAGAAGTTTAAAAAAACTGAATTACTAGAGTTTCAAGTAGACTTTAGATGCACGTTTTCACATAAATATAAATTCAACAGCAGCTTTGATGTTGAGATTAATACAAGTTGTGCTTTTATCTTAAAGGAATATTTCCTACATACATGTGGTTATGAAAAATTATCAAAATCGGGGAAAATGTTAGTGGATTTCTCTAATTTTAAAATGATGCTGACATTATATAGGTCAGTTTTTATTTGCAAGCCTTTGTTGAAGAAGAAATATCTTTATCACAGTTCTTATCATGTCTTATACATGTAAGTAAATAATGCAAATAGATATATAATTGAGGGGCTGTGGTTGTAGCTCAGTGGTAGAGTGCTTGCCTTGCATGCCTCCTGAGGCCCTGGGTTTAATCCTCAGCACCACATAAAAATAAACAAATAAAAATAAAGATATTGTGTCCATATACAACTAAAAAAAAAAAGAAATATAATTGAATGGTCACTCATATATGTTCCTGTTTCCCTTTACAATTAAACAGGTATCTCATTACATTAATTTATTTGAAAACCAATTCATCTTGGGTTTTTGGCACAAAACACCAGAAAGAGCAACTTTATTAAAATTAAACTCAGAGCATTATTTGTGAGTATTGAACCATGAGTAGAACTATGCTATTGTACAAGTATAGTTGTACAAACTTCTTCCAGAATATCCTGTTTCTAGGTTTTACCTCTTGAATTTACCTTGGGAAATACAGTGGTATGCTTTTCTTTTCTTCAGAAATACCAGATTGATAAAAAGAAAATAATAATAGTTTACCATTTTGAATGTAACAACACCAATACTTTAAAGAACTAACAGTGTATTCTACAGATATATGTGCCATAGACTATGAAAAAAGAAACACTTTAGGGAAAAAAATCATGTTACAAAATGTATTATAAAAATAAATTACATAGTATGTGCCCATGGACCTGAAAGCTTCCCAAAAGGAAATTTCTTTTGGCACAAAAATTCACTTGCTCTTACTATATATTTTCAGCAAGGCTGTTTTTAGCTTTTCCATTATATCCTCAAAAAAAAAAAATCACTGGAAGTAGTAAGATATTTCCAGTTGTGATCAGTAGCATGGAGGACCTTAGTAATAACAGAGAGCTGCAGAAATATCCATTCAACAGGGATTCAGAGGAAGTACACACACCCAGTATGTGCTTGGTTTACCATCTCATCTGGAGTTCATACGTAACTGGTGAATGATGATGCTTTCTATAAAAAGAAGAAAAATACAGGATTTTCAATTAAACTGAAACTCAAATTGATAGTTTATGAAATGATCAATACTACATCATTTCACTAAAGGACCATAAGTGTTAAACAACAAAACAAACAAAAACAGGTACATAAGCCCAATAGGATCCCCTGCTATTCTTCGGTAACTTCTTTATATTGGCATATGTGCTTTGCCTCCAAAAACCCATTAGAAATCATGACTTAACATTTTAACCATATTAGGTCAATATTACCCAAGGAATAGACTGAATACAAAGATAGTAATTACCATGTACAAGCCTCATAATGGGAAAATAGACTTCTCTTGGCCAAACTGTCTGTTCTGAATGATATTTATACCCCTTTAATTTTTTTTATGTATGTGGGCTGTTTTTAATAAGGAAATATCCATTCTCTATTCTAAGAAGTCACAAATGACTCACTCCTGTCTCTGCTTCTTTTTGCATTAACTATATGCTTTTAAATATAAATTCATTCTTCAAAACTAAGATATTGAGATAGTAATTAGAACAGTCCAGTAACATTATATACATTTAATATTTATATTTATTTGGTTGTTTTTGCTTTTATACTAACCTTAATGCCATCATGAACATATATCATCATCACTTTTATTCAACCATTTAAGAACTATAGGTCTATAATATGCTAGGCATGGAACTATATTGGTGAAAAATATAAAACAGAGTTATATCATCACTGAGATTATATAGAGCAGCAAAAAGAAAATAACTAAGCCTCAGATAATTTCTCCACCTGAAAATTTTATTACCTCCATGCCCACATATAGTAATTTTGTAAGTGCAAAAACTTGTTAATGAGTTTATCAAAAGCATGAAGAAATTTACACTTATTATTCTCTTTAACTTCAAATATCTATTATTTACATTTTATTCTCTTTTTTTCCAGTTCTCAATGGACCTTTATTTTATTTATCATTGAACCCAGTGCCTCACACATGCTAGGCAAGCCCTCTACCACTGATCCACAATCCCAGTCTACATTTTGTTCTTACTTCTGTAGTTAATATCTGAATAAGCAATAATTAAATCTCATTATACCAAAAACCTGTTTCCTGCTAATTATGCACAGTGGATCATCTTCCATGGAAAGAAATGTTTTGTTTGGTTTTATTAACTTTGCCCATGGGAAACCACTAGGTGGAGATATTTCCATTCCTTTCCTCAGCCTTTCAACTTGATTTTAAGATAGAATAGACAATAGCAAAGTCAAATGAAGCTGTGAAGGTTTTGTAAAGATTTTAAGACATATAATACTATTTTTCAACATACCATAAAAATCATATTTTTTACATTGAAAAATTATTCTGAATTTAACTTCTTTAAATGCCTAAAAATGTGTCAATATCTTCAGACAAAACAATAACAAAGCACAAATTAAAACATTATGTAATTAAAAATCAGAGTTTAAGATTCAAATGTTGTTTTCACTAAATGCTTTTTTTAAATTTTTTTTTTTATTTTTTGGTACCAAGTATTGAACACAGGGCACAGGGGTACTTGACTACTGAGCCACATCCCCAGCCTTATTTTGTATTTTATTTAGAGATAGGGTCTCACTGAGTTGCTTAGTCCCTCGAAGTTGCTGAGGCTGGTGATTCTCCTCTCTGGGTCTCCCAAGCCACTGGGATTACAGGAGTGTGCCACCACACCCAGATGATGCTTATGTTTTAATAGTTTTTGTAGTAGGTTTCAAAGAATGAAAAGGCCTAGATCTCAAATCCCCTTAATACAATTAAAGTATTTTCTCATTTTCCCTCCCTTAAGAAAGCATAGGAACAATTTTAAAAGCGTGAACCTGAATCATTCTTATTATAGATGTGATTCAGAGTGCTTATGCCTTTGCTTTCTTGATACAAAATGAGACTAGATATCATCTCTAATGTCTCTTGCAGGGCTAACATTCTGTGCTACTCCCATCTCTTCTTTCTTGTTGAATATGCAAGCCTCTTAATTCCTAGAGTGCTTTCTCTTCATCCTAGCATTTTCAAATCTTTAACAATAGCTACTTATAATTAATATTTGGTGAAAATACATGGGGGCAATGGGTTTATTTGTAGAAGAAATATTATTTTAGCTCTACCATTACATTTCATTATTATTTCAAATTAATAAATGGAGCCAGGCTTATGCCTGTAATCCCAGCAGCTTGGGAGACTGAGTTAGGAGGATTGCAAGTTCAAAGCCAGCCTCAGCAACCCCAAGGAACTAAGCAACTCAGTGAGACCCTGTCTCTAAATAAATATAAAATAGGGCTGGTGATGTGGCTCAGTGGTTGAGTGCCCCTGAGTTCAATCCCTGGTACCAAAAATAATAATAATAATAAATTGGAAATGCACACATATATCTAGATAGAGAAATGTCTCAGAAATACTTGATAATGCCAAATAACATGATTATACATAAATTCTACTTTAATGATAAATCAGTTGATATTTATGTAAATAAACTTTATTAAAAATACAATTATGCCCAAATTTTCTTGTTTTATATACACTAAGACACATGTTGTATCATTTATAGTGACAGTGAGACAAGATCTATGACAGACTTTATTAAAACTTTTATTAAAGAGATTTTGTTAAGCCTATAGTTGCTTATTATCCGTGCTTTCCCCAAGTCTCAGGTGAACTTAGGTAAGAATCAGTCACCCAGTATCCAAAACTAAGAAATAAATGTTTTACACTATTAAATTTTGAAGTAATTCATTACAGAGCAAAACTCTCTGATACATATGGAGTTCACAGTTGCCAAGAAAAAAAATTAACAATTTGGAGATTAATGCCATTATATTTCTGTAAAAAAGGAAGGAGGAGCAGAATTCCCGTCTCTTCTTTTTTTATTACTTAGTACAACAGAATAATGTTTACATTTTACCAAAGTTAGAAACTCAGCAAATTTAATTCCATCTTCTACTCTGTCTTCATTTTATCTCAGAATAAGAATAAAGTATAGGTTATATGGGGCCTCTAAAGTGACCTCAGTACAGATATAATTCTGTAATAATTTTTTGTTTGTATAGATAACATTTTTCTGACACTAGTAATTTGTAGAGCATGTAATCATCAGATTAAAGTTCAAAGTACCACCTCAGTCAGTGATCTCAAAATAACCAACACTTAAATTTGGGCCCCCTACAAACCTTTATTAATATGATTTCCCTTTTTTTCTAATTGGAAAGGGGAAAAAATCCCTAAGTCTTAATCAGCATATGCATATGAGGAACATTAAGTTTGTAATGTTACTGTTAACATTAACAATTTACCAAAATGCACTTATTAGACATTTTCCCCTGTATGTTTCTCTTTAATATTGATGTTTGTTTTTTTTTCCATAAGAAACTGCAGGTAACACATTTAAATACATTTTTTGTTATTATGACATTATGATGAACTGATGTGGCTTATTAATTCATTCTTTATTACACTAGCTATTAGATAATTTCCATGCAAAGTACAATTCATATTTGTACTTGATTTCTGACCTTACTATTTGCTGTCTATGGGTGGTATGTCAAAAATGCTGGCAAACCACATGACTTGAGCTGTGTGCATGAGCCGCCAGTATTTGGGGAGAAATTTGGAGAGAATGTCTCTTGAGTGCTAGAGTGGTGCAACCTCATAACAAATTGAAATATTGCTTCTTCCCAGGAGATCTCCTTGGCTATAGAGGGAGAAAGATGTACTGCCTGGAGAGTCAGTAACTCCTCAAGCAGTACATGTTTTTACTCTGCCAAACTCTCTGCAAGGAAACACTTGAAGCTCTGATTTTTAAAGGTCTGCTCTAGTAAATCAGACGCCATCCGTTTAATAGGCAAAAACTCTTTTAAGATCACACAACAAAGACAAAACATAGCAGAAGCTCAATTCATAGCAGAACTTTACATCAGTACAGGAGGGTTGTTTTGTCTGTAGAAAAGTACATATCAAGTTACAGAAAACATTTCTTCTTGTATGTTCATCAATTTTGCTGGCTTATCACCTGCTTCCCATGTTCCATGGCTCCTTACCTACCAGGGTTCTGCCTGAAGAACACTGAACCAACTTAGGAATGTGTTCTTCCTTTCCACCAGCTACCAAACCTCAGCTTTGGACTTGCTTCCGTAGACAATTACCCACCTGTAAAAATGTCCTACATTCTATATACCATTTAGAAGCAGGAATATTTAGGTATTATTTAAGTGTCTCATATCCATAAACTGCTTCAGGATTTAATCCTGTTATTATCACATTCAGAAATTAATAAGTTCTGATAAAACATCTGTTTTAAATAGGAAGTTCAATGAACTTCCCCTGTTGACTTGGACTTGCACTCCTTCTTTTGGATCCATTTCAGCTAATTAAAAATACTTCCGACAATCAGTTTTGTCATTTGCTCCAGAAAACTTTTGAACCAGATGATATAAACTCTCTTGGGGGTCTGTACACCACCTAATAGTTTTATTTGCTTCCTTCCAAAACATTTCCCACTCCATCCTCAGTCCAAATCATCCCATTACCTCCCCAGGTTCCAGGAGTTATTGATAATCACAGTTATGACTAATAACTTCTTCAGGCAAGCTAATTCTTATCTTCGGTGTAATACTATTTCCCAGATACAAGCAAGTTTGAATTGGTTCTCACATATATAACATTAACCATAAATAAAAACTAAATAGTAGAATCAGGTACAGTGGCACATGCCTATAATCCTAGCTACTCAGGAGGACTGCAAGTTAGCAAAAAACCTCATCTCAAAATAAGAAATAAAAAGGGATGGGGATGTAGCTCAGTAGTGAAGAGCCCCCAGGGTTCAATCATCAGGGAAAAAAATGAGGGCGAGGGGGCAGGTGTGTTAGCACACACCTGTAATTCCAGCAGCTGAGGCTGGGGCAGGAGGATGACAAGTTCAAAGTCAGCCTCAGCAACTTAGCAAGGCCCTACACAACTTAATGAGACTCTGTCTCAAAATTTAAAA